CTGCTATGGTGCTGTTCTTCACTCTCTGTAGAGTGACGTTTGAGCTTATGTTGGCTTAAATAGGCCTCTCTTAGAGGTCTACTGCTTTTGTTTTGCATCTAATATCTTTCTATTACGTCCCACAATGTTGTAGCTTTATTTTTCATCTTCGTTCACCCTGTAATCTGTTTCCAACTTTCTGGTTTAATTTTCACATACGAATGCTGTGGATTTTATGCAGATTGAATTACTTTTTAGAGGGAAATCTTGCAACGAAATCAGGGAATCTGCTTTTGGTTTGTCAAAGCGACTTGCTCAGACAGCCCAAGAAACATTTCGTGACTTTGAAGAAGCCGTTGAGAAAGATGCAACGAAAACTGCTGTCTCAGATGGAACTGTCCATCCCTTGACGAGCTATGTCATTAATTAGGTGAAGTTCCTATTTGAGTAAGTTTTCTCAACTAAATGATGTCTTTTACATTTATATACATTGGAAACTTCAACCTAGTTGATATTACTAGACCATGTTCCTTCACTAGCTTGTGGAACAACTTGTAGTGCACTTTGCCTCAATGAATGTGTCGTAATATAAGTTTCTCGGTAAATGGGAGAATAGTGTGAAACTAGTTTAAACTACCATGTCTTGCATTCTGCTTCTCTTGATTGTTTGTCTCTGAAGGTGGATGGACAGGATGCTCAATTTAAAATTTCAGGGATGTTCATGGTATCACAAGTAAATGTGTCAGAAAGACAAGTTACAGATGTACTGATCTAGAAGTGAGGTATATGAATAGCGTACCTAGGTCCTGAGTCATTTAGTTTTAGGCTTTAAGCATCTAGATTTCATCGTGCTTATTTTTAAAAAAAAGGAAGTGGCCGTAGGCTGAAGCTTCTTTGTTGAGTTAATTTTCCCTCATGAGTTGCTTGGTTCCTTTTGTTCAGCTACCAATCAACATTGAAACAACTATTCCAAGAATTTGAAAATGGAGACTCAAATTCTCAACTTGCTGCTGTCACAATGCGCATAATGCAGGCTCTTCAAACCAATTTGGATGGGAAATCTAAGCAGTATAAGGATCCATCTCTGACTAACTTGTTCCTTATGAACAATATTCACTACATGGTCAGATCTGTTCGCAGGTTTGATGCATAGACTGCATATAAACCACAATAGTATATGTTTGCTTGGAAATTTGGTGCTTATAATCTGTTCCTTGTAGGTCTGAAGCCAAGGATTTATTGGGCGATGATTGGGTTCAAAGACACCGGAGAGTTGTACAGCAACATGCTAATCAATATAAAAGAATTGCTTGGGCAAAGGTATTGATTTTCTTGCCTCTTCCTCTCCATTACTTCTTATCTCAAAGAGAAGAAACAAGGAAGAAAATATACACTGCAAAATTTATAATGCTATATAAAGATGAAGTTAAGTTGGTGATAAAACCATGAGTGATCAGTAGTAATCTTGACATGATGATGTGTCGGTATTATCTTCGTGATTTTTCTTGTATTTGCTGCTCCATTTGTGATGTCCAAACCGATTATTTCACCCCATGACTTTGAGTTACTTTATGTTTTATGTAATTTTATCTGTGGTTAGATGTAATGACCCTCTTGGTCATTTTTGTGTCTTG